AATAAATCAATCACTGTACATAAGATTATTACATGCTATTTACTTAGCCGCCACAGCTGCCAATCACAATTTCAATATGTAAACTTAAATTAAGCCTCGACGATTGCATACGGCTAAATTAAAATTTATTGAGCGTGTAAGTAGTATGTAATAGAAGGCTATTACGTGTGAAATACAAGTAAAATTAGTGTAAGGAATACAATAAGCTTCCGCAAATAAAAAAACATTAAAACTATTTAATAGCTCACTAATTTCAGCGTGACATACAAACCGATCATTTAGTACAAATAAGAAGGCAATAAAAAACATTTACTAGATAATTTCGCAGATTTTTAATCTAAATTTTCGCTATCTAGTCATTGTTCATAATTATTATGATGTTCATGTCGCCACTTATCATCTGGTATAAGACAAGTAAACGTTGAACATGGTAGAGAACCTTTGGGGAAAGCATTTAGTTTTTAGTAGTCGCATGAAAGTAATTTGAGAAATTGTCTTATAAACCATACTTATCAGCCAAAATGTTCATTACCATTGACAATATTAACACTAAAATTAAATGGCGGCTGCTATTTTGGTTCAAAATTAAACAAATTATGTACACTGATCTCTGTTGTAGTCCTATTAGAGATTTTGGACTAAATTAAATGTTTTCTTTCTTTCTTGATCTTGCTTATTCTTACAGTCACGTGCCTACGTTCTCTTTGCTCATTCAAATTTTAGGCAGCCAAAAACTATTCCAGTTATTCTTCTAGTACAAGGCTGCCCAAGTGGGTCGAACCCTTTACTAAAGACCTTCGCATACCCACCGTCGGGAACAACATTATTAATCCAATAAATTTATCTGATCAACATCCAGCAGACGCTGCAGTAACGGTTGACCAGTTGACCGACCGGTCGAACTTATTTATTGTTATTAAATTCATCGCTGATTACGAGCTAATGTGTCTATAATTTATGTTACAGTGGCTCGTAGAAATAGTTTCAAGATCTTGGCCAAGTTAAGTTTAACAACTATTTTGTAACCATTAATACATTTCAAGATTATTCTAATGCAAGTTGCTTTAACGCAAATATAATCTTTTGCAATCCGCAGAATACCTTCCGATGTAATATTTCTCGGACTTGACATATCATTTACTCGTAATTAAATAGCTTACCCAATGATAGTTGTATCCAATTTTACTCTAAAATAGATTAACAATATTATTGTCATCAAGGTACTATTTAATACAAGGTACATCAAGCTTTTAGAGAAATAGTATTGACAAAATAATTTATAATTAGTTAGTAGAATAATGCTTATTCCTCGTTGAAAAATAAACTAATTTTAAAATTATAAAACGCTTTCATTGCAGCAAGAATAAAACCTTACAATTACAATACCATAATAATTAAGGAACAGTGCTTTGCAATTCCCATTTATAGAATACCGCAAATTGAACTATAAAAATTGAAGTACCAAGCGAAACACAAAACCAGAGACCACAGTGAACTAAAAATGAAAAAGTAAGGTCATAAAAATATTTTTTCTTAAAAAATAAGGCCATAAGCCACCCATGACGAATCTCAGCTCCCAGTCATAAAAATGACCCACAACAATGCATTATTTACCATTATATATCGGCGACAGACGGACTAATTACAAACATAAACATCTGAGCTATGGCTATGTAGGTGTAAAAGGGCCGGTTGTGTGTCCGAAAAACTAACTCTACGCGTCGACGGCGACTATGAAATGCGGGAACTAATATTGACCCTTGCGTAAGCCCCGCATTCCCACGGTGTCCTGAGGGATTTTTCTCATGTAACTCTACAAAAACTACAGTTGTCGGATGTAACACTAGAGGGCGCCTGACTCATGACTTTAGTCAACAAATTGTAAGGCAAATATTGGACTGATTATTCGGAGGGTACATTCTCAAAAGCGGCTTTTAGGTCTACAAAAGATGTGGTAATTGAATTGGATTTTTGTGTATACTCTATCCACTTTTGATCCTCGTTTAACGTCTTCACAAATCTCGCGTGTGGTAAACCTTTAGAAACTATTAACTGAAATATACTTGGTCCTTTTATGGAGAGTTGATATAATGTTGACATTACGTTTAAAAGGATAACGTATTTAACAGCCAACCACTACGAAGTGCCAATTAATATCAACCTACATGCAAGTTTGTACTTATTTAAGTACTTATGTTATTATTATCATAACAAGATAAGCGATTGATGTGTCCATAACTTTAGAATAATCATTTACCAAGTTTATGGTACTTGTTTCTTAGTAATGAACATCATACAACATAATTGCAGTGAGCCATTCTATATATTCAAGAATATTTGTTTGAACATAATATTACTAGAAATCTAAGTGAATGTGGTTTTCTTATTCCTCCAGGCAAAACTTCACCTATAAAGCTAAAACGTACCTATAGTAAAAAATAAAAATATACGGTCATATAAAAGCTTTGTATAATTTTACCCAAAACTTCACCAGATATGCTAATACTAGCCGTTGTCTTTGTCCTTTCATGAACAAATCCCATAACAAAAGCCAAAACTGTATCTATCATACCCATAGTCGCTTTATCATCAGATTTATGTTCGCATTACCCTAGACATTTGCATTTTAGTATAATTATAACAAATCATAATGTTTGAACTGCATCGCTGCACGTACGCCTAGAAGTGATAGGTGGTTAGACAGATCGATTGGAGATGGTCAACCTTTTACCCCATTTTGAATTCAATAACTCTTGTTTCAGAATCCAATTTTCCTTGGCATTGAAACGAATATATCTTTTCAACGTGCAGAATTATGAACTTTATGCTAATGCGGCTAAAGTCTAGCTTTTATCAAATTGCAATATTGTAGTAAGGTGCAATAAAGCCGAGGCTAATGGTGTTAGTCGATTATGAAAGTGTTTGTGTTATCTCGAGATGTTATTATTTGTTGTGAACAACCGTTAATAATAATTTGTTGCTCATATTGCTCGATAGATCACAGGGCTGTTAGGGAGTATAAACGAAATGGACAGCTGTAATGATGTTAATGTCATTGATAATAGTTAATGCATATCAAATAGGATGTATTTATTCTACACTAGCTTTCCGCCCGCGGCTTCGCACGCGTGGACTACATTATCAACATATTTTACGGAACCCTATTTTTTTCCAAAATAAAATGTAGCCTATGTTACTCGTGGATAATAAAGCTTTCGAATGGTGAAAGAATTTTTAAAATCGGTCCAGTAGTTTTTGAGGCTATCCATTACAACCAAACAAACAAACAAACTAAAGTTTTCCTCTTTATAATATTATTACTAGCTGACCCGGCGAACTTTGTTCCGCCTTAATGGCAATAAATAAGCAGACTTTTTTTTTAAATTTCTAACTAACACGACTTTCTTTTATATATATAGATATATATATAGATATATATATAGATATATATATAGATATATATATAGATATAAAAGAAAGTCGTGTTAGTTACTCCACTTATAACTCAAGAACGGCTGAACCGATTTAGCTGAAAATTGTCAGGGAGGTAGTTTAGAGCCAGGAGAAGGACATAGGATACTTTTTATCCCGTTCGAAATTTAAAAAAAAAGTCTGCTTATTTATTGTCATTAAGGCGGAACAAAGTTCGCCGGGTCAGCTAGTATATATAAGATATAGTGTAGATTATGGATAGGTCTGAATATAGGCCAACGGTAAGGGTTGCCATTATGATATTTGTAACTAAATACCTTAAAGATAACATAATATGTAATAAAATTTCTAAAAAGTTTACAAGGAAAAACAGGAACTCAGTTTTACCTCACTAATACTAAACAAAATATTTTTCAAATTACGAAATGTTACAACACTATTTAATTAATTATCGCATTTCATCGGCTCGCTTCTATAAAGAGGCCACCGCGAAAGCCCTTTCGCAGAATCAATTCGCACGTAATCGATTACGTTAGTCCATTATTCGATTACTCGCTTCCACATCCATCACTACTGAATGAGTAATGCATCGGGACCCCGCTGGGCTGTTTGTTGCACTTGTCAATGGTAAATTTGAATTTATCAGTCGCAGGCGCAGTGCATTCGCTGATTTCTTATACCTCAGCCATACTACTCACTTTGACTAGGTATTGAAGTTGTCCGAGTAGGGGAAGGTAGTACGAGATGATCCCCATAAGCGGGAATCGCTGTAAAAAACATATTTTTCAAAATAAACTAAAAATTGAACGATTTGACTGAGACGGGGAGGTATCCAAAGCTATGTTTTACCAGTGAAATAAACTAAATGATGTTAGTGGTTTCAGCACAATCGCGAAGGATCATCTTAGCCTAGGGATCAACTCGAACTTCCCCTAAGTTCATTTCATCCAAATGACGTCCATTGCTGGACAAAGGTCTCCCACGAGGACTTCCACAACGATCCTGCACTGCCCACATTCAGGCCCGAGTAGTTGGTGTGGTCAAATACTTCCTCTTCAAATTTTAGTACATCTACACTATCTCTTCGAATAACTTCAGCCAACTTCGCGAGTTGTGTAGCTGAGGTGAGCTTACAAAAGTGCCATAAATATCCTTGCCCTAATGGGAGTGAACTTTGCCTTTGACATGCCCACTGCACTGTAATGAACTGCATGTTTGCATGCTTGTTTGCGAGTCACTGCCTAAATGTGGTTGAGTTCAATCAAGATTTGATAGACAGTGACACCTTTAAGCAATGTTTAATTCGCAAAAGCGGCTTTCATGAATTAATTGGCTTTATGCCCGTTTTCACCATCAATCCCTAATTTTTAAGTGATACCTATGTAAACAAAATTCCTGTTATGTGTTACCATAGGGGTCAATTAAAAATTAGGGATTGACGGTGAAAACGGGTATTAGTGTCTTATCTCAAAAAGCGGGCACTGATTCAGTTGAAAGATCTTCTTTTTCATCATCATCATCAGATCACTTTAAAAACTGTTGTCTTATCTTAGTTCTTATTGTTTCAGATACATCACAAAGACTGCTCAACCTCCTAGGGGGTTCCAAATTAATAAGGTATGGATATATACGTATGTTGTATATAATACTATACGATTATTATATTTTAAATGAAACTCGATCAAGCTTGCAAATCGCGTAATTCCGGAGAGCTAAGCAAGTGACATTCAGCTCAGTCACTGATTGACAAGAAACAAATATCTAGCGAGTCTACGGTATCAGTCGTGTCATGTACTAATTGAAATATTTAGTGGAATGTCGCAATTATTTGTGAAGCGAACATTAAATTGGTGCAAATCGCAATCTTATTTACAGTTCACAGTATTTTTTAATTCTGTCAATAAATTAACTGTTGGATAATTAAAATCTACTCAAGCAGAGATTTCAACTGATCTCGACATTATTTTACTTGGCAGTTATCTTTGACTGGCAACGGACGGTGTGGTTCAGAAGGTTTATTCGCATCAATGGACACATGGAAAGCTCGATATCGCTAAGGAATCGGCTTTATTTGATTTCATAATTGTCATAGAACAGTAACACAGTATAATTTGATAACTATGCAATGGAAACAATTTAAATAAATAAGTAAATACCCAGATGTGACAAAAATAATTCCCAATTCGTCAATTTCAAAAACAAATGTCCCAAATCAACATGTCATTTTGCAAAACAAAGACAAGAAAGTGTGCGTCAATGATAAATTTCTCATAATGAAGACGATAAATAACCATTGTCATTGGACGAAAGGCATTTAAGATACGCGTCATATTGATGACCATAAATCTCTATATGTTCCCAATAAAAATGCTATTAAGTTTATTGATAGTTTACGAGTAATAATCACTTTGCGAAATTGTGATTGGCGGGAGCCATCAAGTTCATTTTAAACATTAGGCATTGTATCTATAGTTGAATGATGAGAGATAGAAAGTCGTTAAAATTACAGAAGCACCAAGCGTTTTGCGTTACGTTGATAAATTTCACACTGCATCTTCAGGACTTCAGAAAAAAAATGATGTCACAGTTGCTCAGTGTCTACATATTGTGACATAGTTATAAAATATCGATTTTGTTTTGCGTATCAATCCAAATTAATGATAAAACTCTGGCATCTTCGATCACTTCAGTACTGTGTTCTTACCATTAATGACGATATAATTAACCGCGTGAAACGGATCGATTCTTATAAACAAAACTAGAATAAAAATATTGTAATGTATTTCTGAGACAGTTCCGCTTGGCACTTGATAATGCATTGGAAAATCTTCTAAAGAACATGTCATTCAAAATATACAAATAGTTTCTTAACTCTCTGAATGAATCCGAACTTTTAGAACTTTTTTTACATTCTCCGGCGCTAACGTAGATGTTAACACACCAATTTGTTTTGACAAATGACTTGACAGGTCTCACATATGTTAATTTGTCACCCTTTAGCGCGACACCGCTTCTTTCATTGTGAGAGACAGCGGCTCTCTTCGTCAATTCTCAATTTAGAATGTTAAATGACTCTTTAATAGCACTGCTTTCTTTTGTTCTTACATCTGAATGAGCAGCGACAATGTAAGTGTTAACGCTTTTAAACTGAGGTTAAGTTTAATTGCAATGATGTCATTTGGTAACATTAGAGTTCCAACTCGTGTTGGTTACGTACCTTTTATTTTATTTTTCATGTTTATGTTTTGGCTTCGCTAGAGTTGTGTCTGCAGTTAGTTTTGAATCGCGTTTTGGGCGCGGTTTCAGATTATAATCATACGAGTGTTCATACATTTCCAGATTGACATATACAACTTGATATACATATTGTCGGTTATATGTGAATTTACATGCTGCGGGTCGTTTATACAGTTCTAAGTTTCCTTATAAAGAGCTTATTATTTTAGCATAAACCATTTCTCAAGACTAAAATTGTCTCATGTACACGAATCTTTAGCATATTTATTTGCTCTAAACTGAATCATTTCTTACCGTACACGGCTCTAAAAGGCTCTTAATAAAGTCGGCTGGTTATTGAATTGTTAAATACTATCGATAACAGTATTTCAAGTCGAAATCCGATAAGATCTAGCATTTGATTCTGGAACTGTTAAACCGATTGTTGGAGATAAAGTCATTGTTTGTTTCGATCACTGAATATTTATGGCAAAAGCGTGAATAAATTAGTGAAGATTACATTACCTAGAAATAATACAATATACCTAGAACACAATACGCAATTACAATTTATGCGAGCACCTGACTCGCCCTTTCGAATTTGCTACTATAGCGTAATGCTGTCCTTATAAATGGGTAAATAGCTTAATTCATTCAACAATCGCGAAGGTTGTTTCACTCATAACTAAGTAGGGAATTTACTAGACAGGAGGAATGCAGTCATAATACTAAGACCTACATCCTACATCCCTGACTCGTGATGCCAAGTTTTTCTCAGTAACTAATTCTTAATCGTTTTGGGAATGTGGAAACTGCTACTGTATTCAGCTTGATATACTGTCATCCGTGCACTGTCGACAAGGCAATTAAGGCCTGTGTTGTAGCAATAAGCGTGACTATGAAATCAGCGTAAAGTTTCAGTTGATTGCAGTAAATTGTAACCAAACAGCATTCCCCAGATCTTGACATTGTTCTACATGAAGTACTTTCAACTGGCCCAATTGGTTATTAGTTCCCATTTCTCCGTCTGCCACTGTTAAGGTCAGCGTCTTGATTGGCGCAAATTGGTGACAATGCTCTTTGGTTTCTTTCAATTTGTCTATTGACCTGCTTTGGAGTGAGAATTTATTATTGGTTTTGTGTTTGATTGATTTGTAAATTTTTCTTGCCTACAGATTCAATATTTTATCCCTTTTCAGCACTATTTTGGTAACTTCTAGGTAAAAAGTACAGTTTCTAATTCAGAAAATGACGGCTCACAGCACAGAGATGATAATAAAAAGAAATCGAAATAAACTCAAAATAGAAACGCTTCTGTAGTTCCTGTAGTAGCCTCAAAGGAAATTCTACTACTCATCACACTACTATAAAATGCTTACTATAAAAACCTAGTCTTTGATCCCAGTTCAACATTATCACAATCTTCATCGTCAATCGAGATTCCTATTCGATCAATCAACATACGATGGCCAGTATCACTTTTGCCAATCGATCTTTGAGCCTTGGCGCCGAAAGCTTCCTGTATATTTTTCTTTGGTGTTAGTTTTATTGACTGATTTATCCCAACTTCCCAACTAATATTATAAATGTGAAAGTAACTCTGTCTGTCTGTCTGTCTGTTACGCTTTCCCGCTTAAACCTCGCAACCGATTTTGATGAAATTTGGCATAGAGATAGTTTGAGTCCCGGGAAAGACATAGGATAGTTTTTATCCCGGTTTTTGAAACAGGGACGCGCGCGATAAAGTTTTTCTGTGACAGACAAAATTCCACGCGGGCGAAGCCGCGGGCGGAAAGCTAGTGGTTAATAAATCGGAACACCGGCGAAGACGGTAAACGAAATTGGTAGCGCTCGTTTTTGATAAGTGAACAGCGATTATTGGTTCACACTGGACGAAAATAAAATGTTTCAAAGATATTAAAGTTATTCAAATCATCTCCTGCATAAATGGTACCGCTCCCAAAACTAAACTATTTCCATTTAAACATTAGCTGTGCCCACGATTTCGTACTTTTTGCAATATTTTTCTTTACTGCTCCGCCCTATCGGTTGTAGGGTGATGTTATGTAGCCTATAATAGGCTACCCAAAACAATGTTTTTTTTTTCTAATCGGACCAGTAGTTCCTGAGATGAGCACGTTCAGCACATGGTTTAAGAGTTACAGTTAGATTGTTAAGTAACTCTACTTGAGTGTTACCAAATGAGTAAATTAATAAGACGTGGACATTAAAACAGTGCAGTGATTGTGTATGGCAGTAGTTATAGTAGCTAATATTTTATCAGAATTTCCTCCCGTAAAATTTACAATTCATCTACATTTATTAACAACGATTATTTTCAATTTGTAAGAAACATATCCGATATCCGACCATATAAAACTGAATTTATGGTTTCGCACACCCAAACACCCTACAAATACAGATCTAATCCTCTAACGTCCGTTATTAATATTATGTTGTATTCTTAAATCCTCGTGCATTCCGTGCGCGCGCGCAGTTCGCCGGTGGTCGCAAAGCCGCTTCGATTAGGGCTGCGATATAAATACAACTTTATTTTGGTTACAGTTGGTTTGCACAAGTAACTCAAACGTGCAATGAAAAATAAACCCTGATTGAAATGAAACTTTCAATCGTGTGTCACGCTCTTAGACTAGCGCTTTCACATTAGGGCATTAGTAGCGCGACTGAAGCGCGGCAGCGGCGTTTTTATAATGTGAAGGCATGCATCACATAGTATGAAATTTTTGGCAGCGCGTCTGTCGCGCGTTTGTCGCGCTGAAAATCGCCTAAACGTGAACGGGCTCTTAGATTGTAATGTTCTATCTTATTTTAGGTAGAGTTCATAAGCTGATGTTCTTATTACACTTGGGTTCTTCAAAATCCCTTTTCTGTCTACTTTTATCCATATAGAAATCCCGTACCTACTAATATTGATAAATCAGGATAATTTCTGACTTTATCCGCAAGGCTACAGGTCACAGAAAGCCTTTGTCAGCTGCTTGCTATCTAAAATATTATCTATGGCTAAGTTACAGTATCATCATCATTATCATCAGGTCGTCTAGGGTCCACTGCAATCTACCCTTTCTATTTCATCAGAGACAACCTTAAATAAGACCTTTATTTCACCCTTTCAAGCATTTTTTGCCATATAGCTTATATGCATTATATGCAGCATTAACTTTTACAGTCTTACTTCTTAAGATACATTTATTGTAGTTTGTGCCAGCCCTACTTAAGCCGTATTCGCACCCACATCTCATTCTCGACTTTTTATATTCGCGTTATATTGGGCATAAAGTTAAGCGAACTTACGTTTCCGGATCTCACGTTTACGATTATAATATTGAGTTTCGCGATCTTCGCTTCCGTGTGTATTCGTAGTAGAGTCTTGCTTTCTG